CACACCCTAATCTAAGATATCCATTACGATATTTACCTAATAAGTCCAATTTGTTGTGCTTCATTAGTATCAAATGTTCGTGATGTAAAAACAAGTTCACGGAAGAGACTATGATTGGCAATTGATTTAGGTAAAATTTGAAGAGTACCGATATCAGGTACTAAACCCATATCAACTTCCTAAAGATACAAACATATATATTCGATATTCAATCTATGGAAATATCAATACCTTAATAGAAAATGTTGTATCACGTGAACTATAACGAATATCACAACAAGATGATAGATCAACACCAGCACCGATACAATAACCATGAATAGCAGCTATGACTGGTTTTTCACACTTGAGAAATCAAAACTTTAAATATAGACGAAAAAAATACGATGTTATTCATTTACATTATCAATTGCTCTTAAAGATTCTTGTATTCGTTGTATCATACTTCGAGTATGTAGTATTTTTCGTGCTATATCATCGATTTCAGCAGATTTAGTACCAGAATCTACTAAATATTCGATATCAATACCTGAAAATATCTCAACAAAAATATTATTTTTATTAATAATGTAAGAAAGAATTTACCAGTACTAAATGCTCTACCAGAACCAGTTAATACTATAACTCGACATGTCTTTTCGATGTTTAATTGTTCGAAACATATTTTCAACTCACTCAAAAAGAAAAACAATACTATTTTACTAAATATACATTAATATAAAAAGAAGAATATCTTACTCGAATAATTTTTGATTCATAGCATTAAGTTTCGTCGGTCGATTTAACTCAACCAAAGTTACATGAGGTTTTGGTTGACTTAACTTCAATGTTTCATATGTAGGTAATGATGCCATAGATCGAAAGATGAATCAAACTAATCAATGATATAGAATGATGCATAAAAGTTTAAAACACTTTTGATCTTTTGTCGATTTATCATTACAGAAAAAAATCTTTAAAAATAAGCCATTGGATGTAGAATTGAAAGGGCTAAATTTTAGTATAGAAAACTTTTTCATAGCTTTTGACTAGACTTCTCTGAAACATTTTTTATAACTTCTGACGACAAGGAAAAAATTGTGTTTCGCTGTACATTCTAAGCTAATGATCTATTCGATGCTATATAAAGATATTTATTTTTTCTTACCTATTAAAAAAAATGATAAGAACAGTTCACTAGAAATAGGAGTAATGTGTGTGATGATATCACGAAGACGATATCGTTGTATTGGTGGTGGTCTCGACTAATAAAAATTCATAAAGGTAAAAAGCATCAATATGGAGACATAAACTTCGAACAATTTAAAACAGAGATAAATCATCTTTTTGAAACGATTTAACGTTAATGCACTAATCAGGCATAATATCGTTTTACCAATAAAAATAAACATGTGGCGCCATGATATTACTCCACATTAAAACCAAATTTCGACCGTTTCACATGTTTTCAATTAGATTTATATCACAGAACAAATTATTTCTTTTCTTTTTCCATTTCAGAATGAAACCACAATATATTCGTTTGAACATGTCGTCTAACAGAGATTTACAATCTAATGTTGCATCACAAAATACAGTTCATTTGAGATACGTTCATCCTGTGGTACATCTGCAATTGCTGTAGCGCCGACTCGTATTATCATTAACCGAGAAGACAAACAATTGAATTGCAACTGTACCTATTCTTGAAAGATTTATAAACTCATCAACCTCTTATGCTAGTATACCAGTGAGTGAGTGTGGGTAAATACGAAAACAAGTGAATAACCACACCCACACCGAATTATTTAATCAGAGCATATCACATAACTTATTCTCTTAAGAATATCATATTCAATTTCAATATTCTTGTTTTTTTCTTCTATTATTATTCACATTGACTTCTAAATAATCTTAAGAAATCTCATTTTCATTGAATCTTTCTCATCATATTAATATTGGTACGATTTAAATTTTATTATAATAAATCACATATGAATAATAATGTTATTGTTTCATTAAATTTTCAAAGATTGAGTTCAGATGATATTCGTACAAAAATAATATTGAACAAATTTTGTTGTTGTATTTAAAAATATTCTTCTGATTTCACTATAATAAAAGTAATGATCAATATTCCATATAATTCTTTGTTTAATAATAAATATAAATAGTTTTTTTATTAAATATTGATGAATTTATTTTAATATTTAATCATTGAAAATATTAAATTTAGTTATGTATATCTTAGAAAAATATTTTTTATTTAAAAATTCTAAAAGGTTTATTTAAGTAAAAATTCAATTTTCGCATACAGATATTTATATTATAATCGTTTAAATTCATTTTAAATAATAAATCATTTTGTAAATATATTTTATTATGTAATATTTTGTTTTAATAATGAAAAAGATGATCACAAATATTTTGTGTTATCATTCTTCTGCACCTTTTCTTAGTGAATTTTTTAAAAAGAGAAGATCAAACTACTCTTTATGTATCTATGCTGAGATATATAGAAGAACGCTTTCGGATATCCGTTTGAATACAATACTTTCGTTTTTATGGTTAAATCTTATTTATTTACTTCGGTATAAGCTTTTCTTTTTCAATTAAATCATTTGTATTTGTCAAGGTTTTCATTCTCAAAAGATTTTGAATTTCATCAACGAACAAAATTAAATTATTCAAAATGTTATTTTTAGTTAAAATTATTTCCAACTTTCGAAAATCTTACATTTCATCTTTCAATCCTCTTCCGTCGTGAAGCACTAAAAATCTATTTAATCAAAAATAAAATATGGTTCTTTCTTATTTTTCTTCTATTCTTAACTTGAAATTTTATCAGTGAGATTTTGTCACGATTAGTAATTGTTGTTACAATGAAATTCTTTTTCGATTTCTGCTACTACCGAACAATGCTTTTGATATCATTGAGTCATTATAAGTTTATAGTTATAAGAGTAGATAAAGATATATTCATTTCTTTCATAGACTTCTATTCAAACACGTGGCGATGGCAAATAACAAAACACTATGTTTTATCTGTAATAAAAATAAAATAACGTATCACTGTGAAGGATGTTCAAAACACTTTTGTTTAATGGATTTAATAGAACATCGTCAAATATTAAATAATGAATTACATCATATCACCAATGAATATAATGAATTTAAGCAAACAATTAATGAACAAAAACAAAATCCACAAAATCATTCATTAATAAAACAAATTGATTATTGGGAAAGAAATTCAATTGAGAAAATTCAACAAAAAGCACAAGAGTACAGAGAAATTGTCATTAAATCATCACAAAAATATATTAATGATACTGAAATGAAATTTAATAACTTGAATGAACAAATAAAACAATTTGTGAGGCGTGTATCCTCTAATGAAATGCGAAGTGTGAAGATGATCCTAACTCCCACAGTCGATCCCGTTTATTGAAAAACAGTTGGCTTATATAGATGACAGTGAACAAAGACACACTATCTTCACATGGAATATTCCCTTTTCGCTTGTCATCACCTAGGGAAGATTC